TTTAGCTATCTCCAACCTGCGTGGGCATGGGTCATATACGTTGGGGTGGCAGGTGGAAGATAAGCACTTAATTCAGCAGAAAGGCAAAGGCTAACTAAAGTATTCTTACATTTCTTTTGTTACCCTTTTGTTTTGTTTTAATCTAATGGAAGACTCTTTCCTTGTAGGAGACAAGGAGAGGGCCTTAGGATCTACTGGGGCAGTCCAGAGGAGCAGTCCATCTTGTCTCGCTGGAATCCGTGGTCCACTGAGGTTCCTTATGCTACCTTCACTGAGCACCCTATGAAATACACCAGTGAGAAGTTCCTCAACATTTGCAAGGTAGGAGGAAGCTTGGGCATTGCTCTTAAATTATCTTTGTTGGTGGAACTATGTAGTTGGTGGAGTTTCAGAATGTGTAATGTTTAGAAAAAAATACAAACTGGGATTTATGTAGATAAAAACTTTCATAGATTGATGGAACTTTTTTTTTTTAGACAGAATTTCACCATGTCACTCTCAGTAGAGTACCTTGGCATCATAGCTCACAGCAATCTCAAACTGTTGGGCTTAAGTGATTCTCTTGCCTTAGCCTGCCAAGTAGCTGGGACTACAGATGCTCACCACAATGCATGGTTATTTTTTTGTTGCAGTTGTTTAGCTGGTCTGGGCTGGGTTCGAACCTACCACCCTCTGTCTATAAGGCTAGGGCCATAACTACTGTGCTATGGGTGCTGAGCCTATAGAACTTTTTAATGTAAGTATTCATTATATTTATTTTTATACAGAACATACTTCTTTTTCCTTCCTAATTGTTTTTTCTGCTTGCCTGTAGGGCGTGTAGACTTTTCCATATTTAATCAAATTCTCATTATTTTATTCAAGGAGAAAATGTGGAATAGTACAAAGTACAGTCAAAGATGGCTCCATGGTCATGCTTGATAAGTGACTTCTCTGTCTCAGCCTTGGTCTCACTTCTAAAATGGAGATAATGAACACTGCTCTTCCTCCCAACCTCACTGGAGTTTTATAAGATTAAATGGAATGACATGTATAATTATTTCATGATACATAAAGCAATTAAAAATATCTTTACATCTTTAAATCTCATCTCCTCAAGTAGATTTTAAACCCATGCATTGGTGGCAAGGGTAGTCTTCCTGTATTCTCTCCTCTATCCTCTCATCTCTCCCAGGGATTTTGAGCAAAGCAAAGGCACCTGAAGGAGTCAGGTGGGAAAAACTGTCAGAGCTGAAAATGCTGAGAAAGATCAAACTTCCTACTTTCAACAAAAGCAGATATGTACATCAAAGTGTGCTGATAGGCCTAGAAATTCTTACCTTCTCTGTTCTTTTTATGTTTATCTTATCAGTAATTCATTTCAGAACATTACACCTTTTTATTTGCTGTAAATTCAAAACTTGGCAATCTGCATCTAAAGTCCTTTTGTGGTTGATGGTATACATACATTTCTTGGAGTATTTTAAACACAACTATTCCTGTATGTATATTTTCATATATACATTTGTTTGTGGGGGTACGTGTATATGTGAAAACAAATATCTCAAATTAGCAGGGGACCTGCTAATTTTATTTTATTTATTTATTTTGCAGTTTTGGCTGGGGCCAGGCTTAAACCCACCACCACCTGGTATATGGGGGCCGGCGCCTTACTCCTTGAGCCACAGGTGCTGCCATCCCCTGCTAATTTTAAATAGAATTTGAGGCAACATATATGTGATTTGAGGCTAAATGAGGTCTTCATTCCCCCCATCTCCAATATGTAGGTGAAGTTGGCTTGAAATACATTCCACTCCCAGGAGAAAATCAATGGTCTTCTCAAGATGTATGCAAATGTTTTCAGAGCTTATGGTGTCATGGTGTACCTTTGGCTCTAACCTAATCTATTTTGGGCATAAAATTAGTTCAATATATGGATCATGTTGCTCTTTATGTTATATTCCTATTTCACAATTTCTGAACGCAAGCATCAATGTCCCTAGACTGATCTTACCACTTATAGCCAACAAAACAAAATGAAAACCAGTAAGAACAACAAACAATACTCACATGAAGGCATTTATGTGAGAGTGGACTCAGGAAGAGCTTCAGGGAGGCAGGGTGGGCTTTGGATTCTTGTTCATGCCCCTAATTTCAAATGCAATATCAGAGTTCCTTGTTTATGAGAAGTCTTATTAGCAATAATACTCTGACACATTGTTCCATGACCTTCTCTCTCATGCTCTTGCCCTTCCCTGTAATCCTTTTCTTACTATTAACAACGAAGGGCAGTTTATATTTCTTCTTTTAACATCTGTTAATCCAAGTCAAAGAGCTTAACAATGTATTTTTCATTTCCCTCTGTTAAAAAAAATCTAGTTTTAACTATTAGAATAATGTATTTTTTGAATCTATAGATATACTTTATAGTGAGTAAAAAAAAAATGCCGACTGCCATAGCTATTACAGCTATCACTTCCTGGGCCAATTTGCCTCTAATTCCTTATATCTGATGTATTAGATACTGATTCTCTGAATATCCTTTGCTGGGGGAAGTTCAGGGTGAGGGGTTAAAGAATAAATTCTGTGAACTGCAGAGAAATAGCACGGTGTCATCCCAATACCCTGTAGTGTTTTATCTTGTTCCATTGAATGTAAATACAATGAAATAATTTAAAAAGGAATATGAAAAGTAAAATATCGGAAGGGGTATGGAATAATGATTCCCCAAATACCTGTGAACGTAGTTAGTAGACTAGGGTATTAAACTTTTTCCTGTCTTTCCCATTGGGAAAGGAAAACTGATGTTCAGACAGCTCTTACTGCAAGGAAGGATAGCAGGTGTGAGGCTGGTGCACGTACAGTGCAAATTGATAAACATAAAATTGATACAGTGCAATCACTGTGGATGCTGGTTAGTTGTTTGGTTGGTTTTCAGTTAATCAAACTACTTTTTGGATCTGTTAGGTATACTTCTTTAAGGATTTTCTCCTTAAATTATTATTCCAAATTCTTTTTTTTTTGTTCCTTCCTGATAATAGTCTGGCGCTTTCACTTGCCAAGCTATTATTTATTCAAAGGCCACCCCAAGTCTCAGCTCTCTAGGAAAACAAATGATCTCCATCTGGAATGTGAGATGATGAGCCCTTTGATCCTGTTCCTTGAGTCTTAGTTTCTCTTTTGTTGTTGGTTTTTATGTCACAATATTATTTGTGTTTAGGACATTTTCCAAGATTGGCTTTGATTAAGACCCAGTCATATTATTGTAAAAGAATAAATGAGAAGAGAGATAATTTGGGGGATCTAGAGTCCTTTTAATGTGAATATTTTGGCATCACATAAGACTTTAAAAGGGTGTTCTCAACTGGTTTTTCCATCTCTCTTACGAATGAAATAGGAAAAAGTAGAGGCGTAAGTGGAAAATGTCTAAATCAAACATCTGAGGCAATTTAATTCAGTTTAACAAACCAACTGGGGCACAGGGGTGAGAATAAGGTAAACCTGAGTTACACAGTCAAAATCTTCAAGTTATTGGCAACCTAATGGAAGAACTTATTACTTATAATAATACATTAAAACATTCAAACTTATTCTTACCCAGATATTCTCTTCTAAAACACCTGGACCCTCTTTATTCAAAAAAGTTTTCTGACACTAAGAAAGTGCAGGTATTATGATTGTTGTTAAGGAGACAAACAGAAAAGAGACAAGATTCTTGCCCTAGTGAAGGCATTGCTTAAAAGCAGAGACAGATAAAAATGCAAAGATGTTGAAATTAGCACTAACTTGCTAAAACAGAAGTTTGGACCAAATGAAAAGGAGGTACATGAAGGTATACAGAGATCTTCAAATAATGAGAAATTTGGTTTAGCTGGAGTTTAAACTTAAATAGATCTCACCATAATTTTAATGACTCAGACAATTAAGAACCGAATTCAGTGATTTTTCAACCAGTGTGCTACGGCACACCGGTGTGCCCTGAGAGGATATTAGGTGTGCAGTGAAAACTTTTAAAAATCAATAAATTATTTCCGAAAGAAGTTCAAGTCATTGTAAGTATATTCTTTTTTTTTTTTTTTTAACTCTTTTTCTGGATCAATGTAATTTAAGTGTCCCGGGAAGTTTAACTATACGTTCAAGTGTATTATGAGATGAAAAAGGTTGAAAAACATAGGCCTAAAGTAAGAGGCAGTAAGAAGGAAGAGAACATGATGAGACTTTGAATTATTCCAAATAGAGAACTAGTGGAAGGAGCCAACTGACAAAGCATAGCAGGTGACCAGAGGAGGTCAGAGATGCCCAAGGTTTCTGGCTTGAGCGAATGGTTCCTGGTTCCGTTAATTTGGAAGAAACTGGCAGAGTTGTAGCTTTGGGGGATTCAGTTTAGGAATGCTGAGCTTGAAACATCCACATAATGTGGGGCTGAGTTAGTTCTGTCAGTAGCAGTTTGGATCTGAAGCTCACGAGAGAACGCTGAAGTGGTGGCCTACACTCAGACCAGTCAATGCTGGTCACAGCTGAGAGCCATGGAGCTGGTGGGTGAGGAAGGTACCCAAAGAAAGGGCATTTATGGGAATAATCGGATTCAAGTTTAAATGTGTACTTTCTCTAAGTCTCTTAACATTGATCTATAAAATATTTATACAATACTATACTACATTATTAATACAAAATACATTATTTTTCTTTTTATCTTTCTCACTGACTCTCTATCACGTCCACCTCTGGCAGATGTGATGGTTAAACAGCCTCTTCCCAGACAGTCTTGCTCATCTCCTCACCTCACGAAGGTTTTCCAATCTGTTCACGCACATACTTTGTGTTACTAATACAAAATAACTGTGAAAACAGAAAATAGTCCGGAGGGGGCATTGATTTTAATATTACAGAACTTAAAAAGAATCTCACATATGATTATATAATTGCATGTTATATTTGTTGACTACAGTTTAAATGATATTTTCATATAATTCAACTAGCAAAAGCCCTGTAAAGTTAGGATAGCTATGTTTGTTTTAAAAATGATCACTTACTCGGAGGGATTAAGTGAATTGATTAAGGACATACAATAGCAGTTCTATGTCCACTCCCAAAAAGTTTGCTAATACTCAGGGAAAAGGGTAAAAACCCAAAGGTATTGGGTGTATGACAGAGAGAGAGAGGGGCACTATGTGTACATTCACATTAACTGATATGACATCCTATAATATATCATGCATTGTAAATTGGGGCAATTATTCTCAAATTTTTCATCCACTTTGTATTTACCACTTGTAGTCTTATCTTTTCTTTTCTAGCCACTGCTTTTCTGGGCTTCTGGGGGATGTGGAGAGTACTGCTGGGAAGGACCTGCTCACTGAGCCCAGAGCTATGAAGGATAGTGAGTGGACTGATGGATTAACAGACCAACCATCTTTATTCTTTCTGGCATGTTTACCCATGTTTTTGAGGGAATCATGAAAGGGAACCTGTTTTAGTAAGGAAATTCAACTTTATAACCTGAGCCCTTTGGTTTCCTTTCACAAGAGGTTAACAACTATTCATTGAGTACCTACCCTGCATTGATTACTACAGAATGAGCCATGTGCTAGCAACCTGGAATCCCAAAAAGAGTAAAACACATTTCACCCTTCAGACACTTATGGTGGAGAGGGAGGAGAAGACAGAAATGTAATTAACAAATTATAATAAAGTGGGCTATGACTCTTGAAGGAAGGATTCACAAGGGGTTATGGGAAGAAACAGATAAATCTGAAAGTTAACAGAGGTGATGACATTTGATGTAAAGCTCAAGGTATGGGTTATTTAAGTGTCAAAGAAGGTGAGAGAAGGCATTTTAAGAAAAGGAAACATAATTAGAAGCTGCAAATTATAAAAGTATGTGAAATATTCTTGGATAAAGACTAATTCAGTTTAGCTAGAATTTCAAGCGTGTGGGTGTGCGTACACACTTGTGGGCAGGAACGTAGAACAGGATGTAGAAGTGCAGAAACCTCTCTTGTACAGGGGAAATAGACACTCTGCCTCATCCTTTTATTTTTCTGTATATGCTTGAACTTAGCCAGTCATGGGGTCTCTATACAGATAGATCCATGTAAAATGCACATGATGATATATAGTCTATGAAGCAGTACAACTTCCCAAGTGGTTTCAAGGGTTGGCTATTGAATGGGCTTGCTCTTCATGCTAGTGTGCTTCCCTTCCCAGTGGGGAGGCTGAAACTATAGCCCAAGGGCTTGGAAAACCTGCTCTGTGGAGGAATGTGGGCCTGCAGGCATGAAACCTGGTCTCTTTACCCAGTGTAAACAGGAAGCAAGGGATGGTTGTATCTAAGGAAAACTGAGACTCTAGGCAGTGAACTTCTGGCAGACAGCACCTGAAGCAAACCTGTGGCCCAGGCACCCAGCTGGTAAACAATTGTTCTAAAGTCAAGAAGAATGCCACGCTCCCGCTGCCCCCCTCCCCTGGCTCTACTTTACCTGAACCAGCACACATCCTCTGTGTAACTGGAGTTGTTAAAAACTGACCCCATCCTTTTTTGAGACTGGAATAAAAGGAAGCCAGAGGTGGGTGTATAAAAGCTTTTAGAGAAAAGTATGTGGTTGGTGGCATTCATATCAGATGACACAGCATTTCTGTCACACAGATTGAATTCAGGTGCTTGAAATGCTCAAGAGCCAGCTTGGGGACTTGGCCTTTTGTCTGCCTCTCCTTCAACGCACTTCTTGTCTCTCCATAAACTTGGCCCCCCCACCCCTTTGAAAGAGCTCCCAGAAATGACTGGAAATGAAGTGCATCTGATTCTAATGAAATGCCAAGTTCATTGAGTATGAAATAGTGTCAAGTTTTTCTTTCCAGCACTTTGATTCTGAGACCACAGAGGATTCTTAAGAAATGAAGCTTATGATGAGGACTGAGGAAGCATTCAATAATCCAATTTGGCAAACACTTATGGATCTATGAAAAGGCATCCTGATAATCCAGAGGGTGTTGGCAAGGAAATGTTGAGATGAATTACACTGTGGCTTTCAGGAGATCGTGGTGTGATGATGGTGATGAGGAGGAGGGCATGATGGTGAAAACAGTTAGTGCACATTGATTATTGGCAACAAGCTTGTTTTATTTCCTTTGCAATATGACTTTAAATTCCAGCCTCATCTCATTCCATTCTCCTAACACTTCATGTAATGTAACAGCACACAGGTGCACATGCAGCATATACACAAACCCTTTATTTTACTTAATCTTTACAATTACTGTGTAAGTCTGATGATATTAGTAACTTTATTTTATGGAGGAGAACTATGAAATTCAAAGAGGTTGGTTAGCTTGCACAAAATCACACACCTAGTTAATGCCATAGTTGTAACTTAAGACCAGGTCTGTCTGGTCCCAATACACTTGCTACATCACGCTATACCATGTTCAGTTCAGTGGTTATTAAGAGGGGGTGATTTCTTGTACTGGGGGACATTTGGCAATGTCCCAATGAAATATTTTGGTTGTCCCACTTGGGCCAGGAGCCCTACTGGTATCTGGTGGGTATATGCTAAGAAGGAAGTTTAAGATCATGGAAGGCAGAGGGCATTTTTTTCCTCACAGCTCAGAATTATCTGGCCCCAAACAGCAATAGTCCTAAGAGGGAGAAATCTTGAATTAGTTGCAGGGACAGCCACACGTGTGACTCTACTTCTTAGAAAACTGGATTAAATATTTAAGTGAAGTGTAAGTGAAATGTAATAAAAGAAAGAAAAAAATCATTTTTTACCTTGAGTGTGGGTAGGCATTGTGGAAGAGAAAGGATTTGAGCTTGCTTTTGAATGAGGTGTAGGAGAGAAAGCACGGTAGATCTTTGTGGATTAAATCATAGGTTCCCAGGCAGTTTTATTCTAGTGATTTTCATTTTAAAAAATCTTTTAAAAATAAAATCTTACATGGAACTCAAATACCAAAGTATTTTGACAAAAGTCAAGTCACTCTGACCAATGTGATTGGAAGAACTGAACAAGGTCACCTGCTTAGCTTTTGCCCTGTGTCCACATCCTCTCCCCAAACCCTCAGAAACCTGTTGTTTGAACATTATTCACAGAAATACTTTCTTGCTTTTCAAAAGAATCCAGACTCAGGTGATAAAGTAGATGGTCACCTAACCTATGAAGAAATACAGTGTTTTAGGGAAAAGAATTTGAAAATTAGTGAGTACAATATTTACCTATCCCTTTTGCAAATGAGGAACATGAATCCTTCCCTAAATATTAAAAGTTAACGCTAAATGTACTAAATATTATGATTTTGTAATACCGCTCATAACAGCAGCGTCTAATACAAGAGAGGACTTTAGGAGTGAAGTCAAGTGAGCTGGGTCTAAGCCCTGTTTACTGATTATTTAGCACTGGAAAATTCTCTAACACTTAGACCCTCAGTTTACTTATTATATCCCTACCACATTGCTTACAGTGCCTGGAGTCTTGTACAACAAGAGTTTTTTGAGTTTGCTGATTTTTACTTCCTGTCCTATATCATATCGTTTTGGTTATTAACTTCACTTCATAATTATCATTCCTGACTTCTGGATATGATTGCTATTATGAAAATTTTCACTACAGACATCAACTTTTCATCTGTCTATTCCTTTATGCACCTGGTTCATGTATCCAGTTGTCTACTGAAAATCTGTCAAAGGCCTACTTGGTTAGATAACTCAAACCATACATCAAAAATGTGATTATTAATCTCTGTACCTCACCATTTCCAATCTCTACCACTCTTAGGCTTTCCCAGTTCCCTTACAATGTCACTATCTACCCAGGTGCTTAGGTCAAAAATCTGGGGGGCATCTTCCATGCCTCTCTTCTCTTTAACCCCGAATGCAAACATGTCAGCCAGTTCTGTGGCTCTATCCCTCCCCCGCTCCAAGTCTCTGCTGCAACCTTGGTCCAAGCCACCATCATCTCTTGCCTGGACTATTGAAGTGGTTCCCAAACACCTCTTGCCCTCCTGCTTCCATCTGGACCTTTACAGCACTCTATTTTTGACTCTTTACAGCACCTAAGATTATTTTTTAAAAAATAAAAATCAGGCTCTATGCCCAGAACACAGTGGTTACTGTGCCAGCCATGTACACTGAGGCTGGTGGGTTGGAACCCGGCCTGGGCCAGGTAAACAATGATGACAACTGCAACAAAAAATAGCCTGGCATTGTGGCAGGTGCCTATAGTTCCAGCTACTTGGGAGGCTGAGGCAAGGGAATTGCTTAAGCCTAAGAGTTTGAGGTTACTGTGAGCTGGGATGCCACAGCTCTACTGAGGGTGGCATAGTGAGACTCCGTCTCAAAAAAAAAAAATGAATAAAAAATAAATAAATAAATAAATAAATAACAATAAAAATCATATACCAATTGAACCTCTTCTTAAAGTCACTTCATAATCCAAAGTCCTTCATATGGCCACACTGAGTCTTCGTGCCTGCTCCAGCCTCCCTCTTCTATCTCTGTCATCCAGTTGCATAGGCCTTTTGGGGGCTCCTTGAATAAACTAAATTTATCCTTCCCTCACAGCTTTGGCAGATGCCATTTTTTTCCTGCCTGGAACACTTTCTCCACATGCCTCACTATTTTTTATCATTTAAGTGTGATCTCATCAGAAAGACTTGCCTTGAATATGATACATGAAGTAATCCTCAAATCAATCACTTTTTATGTCTTTACCACGTTTTATTTTTCTCCTAGAATTTATCGCCATTGAAAATCACATATATCTGCTTGTTTTTTCTTTTGGTCTCTTATCATAACATAAACTCCAGGAGAGCAGGGTTTTGGCTCCTGTTCAAGTGCTTAACATCGCCAGAATATGGGCAATGAGAGAGTTCATCAATATTTTGCGAATGATTTTTAGGTGCCTTTTCATCTGTTAGTGACACAGAGAATTACTTTAGAGTACTAATGCTGATGGAAATCATGTGTATTCACACACAAAAATTAAAGTAGCTGAAACTAAAATGGTGCTGGGCAAATTTAATGAACAAACTGAAAAGTTACATATTGTTTTTTATAGTAAGAAGCAAAATTTAGCCTGAGGAAAGCTCGTCTCAATAAGAGTTTAACACGATTGTTGACTGAGTTAAACATGATTATTAACTGTAACAGAGTTAAATTTAACAATCTATATTTAAAAAGTAGGAGTCACTGCAGCTCCAGAAGCGTGGTCAGGCTTTGTGAGGACTGGCCGGGCAGGGGCAGTGGTGTCTCTGGACCTACTCTGCCTCACTAACTCTATGCCTTCCCCTTTTCTTCCTTAGTTGTCTGGGTTCACATCTAAGCTTGTTCCAGCTATCCAGAATGCTTGCAAGGATTCCCCCGGATCTGGAAAAGGGAAGAGGCTGTCGGTGTTAACTGAACCCATTTTGATTGAGACCTACGCGGGGCTGATGTCATTCATTGGAAATCGCAACAAGCTTGGCTACTCCCTTGCCCGTGGGAGTATTGGCTTTTGAGACTCTTTTTTGGTACCATATGTACAGCCCCCACAGAGTTGTCATTATGGAAGATTCCAATTCAGCCCACCGTATTTTTTTCTGAAACAATTAATTACCTTTAAATAGCACTGCATTATTTTGAATATCTAATATTTCGGGAAATCTAAAAGCTTGATTGAACTGATAGATCCACACTTCAGAACTCAAAGAAGAATAATTAAATTTCCTTAATTCTAGAAAATAAATACTGATAAGCTCATCAAATAATATTATCAAATGAGGGCCTGATTATAACCTTGGGGAAGGCTCTCTGGGTTCTTATTCCTCTGGCTCTCTAAATGCCTCTGATACTGATGTATTTTTCACTGGGGGCTCATAGTCTCTATTATTTTAGCTACCATTTTAATGAGAATGATTTCCAAATCTGTATTCCCATCATCCTCAATATTTATTCCACAATTCAGTTTTTCATTTCTGTCTGCCAATCATCTACACATTAATGTTCTAATGGCACCCAGCATTCAGCATCTTCAAAATCCAGGATTTTTCTATGGTGTTGTTATGGTTCCAGTTATCCATCCCTGAAATCTATCAGTTTTAATGTTTCTAAATTCTTTGCCAAATAAATATGTCCTATACAGTGCCATATCTGTGCATGGCTTAGCATTGTACCCTAATGCCCGAATGTTAAAAATTAAAGCTCATTTTATAATTTCAAAATTATTGATAGCCTCTCTCTCTCTCTCCCATGTATTTATTTATTTATTTATTTTTGTAGAGACAGAGTTTCACTTTATTACCCTCGGTAGAGTGCCGTGGCATCACACAGCTCACAGCAACCTCCAACTCCTGGGCTTAGGTGATTCTCTTACTTCAGTCTCCCGAGTAGCTGGGACTACAGGTGCCTGCCAGAATGCCCGAGATATTTTTTTTGTTGCTGTTTGGCTGGAGCCAGTTTGAACCCACTACCCTCAGCATATGGGGCTGGCGCTCTACCCACTGAGCACAGGCACCGCCCACTCTCTCCCATTCTTACAGATTGTATTCTTAGATGGAGTTTTAAATTCTGCTTATCTGCAGCCTCTTAATTGGAATCTCTATTCCAAGTCTGATCCTGTTTCAATCTATTCTGTACTTGGTTTCCAGATTCTCAAAGAAAATTTGAATATATCACTCCCTTGATCAAGAACTTTCAATAGCTCATTTCATTTCAGTATTTTTAAGCATTTTTTTAAGAGCAGATCCTTTCCTTCTAGAGAGACCTTTTTAAGAAGCCAAATACTTAAACCAGATAAAAGTAAGACCACTGAGGTTGAAGTGGAGATGGGCATGCCATTGGCCGCCTCCATGTCAGACCTCAGAGGTGCCCCATTGGAATCCCATGGATCTCAGAGGGTTTTCTGGACCATGTTTAAAAACTCTCATTTCGTCTTTGCTTCTTTCTGACTTAGGTCTAATTTTGAACAATCCAGGAGATTATGTCATCTGCATCTCTTCAAGTTACTTTTCTCTTTCATTTTAAAACCACATTTTATTTAAATTTAATCAGCAAACAAGTGTTGCATGTTGAACACTGTAGATATTATTACAATAAACTTCTTATTTTTCTAAGATCCAAAATCGAGACACCTCAGTTCCTACTAAAGTTTAAAATTCAAGTTAATTTTTCTTCTTTGGCCTATGGGCAGTTTATACTTAAAGTCTTTTCTTTGAATTGCTTCCTCAATTTTGAAGATTTGTCCTCTGATATATTCACAAACATTAATTTGATGCAGCCGTTCACAACTCAAACCTTGAGTCACACTTGTTTTAGTTTGTCTTTGTTTACTTCCATTAATAATTCTTTCATTTCTTCTCTTTCCCCTTTATTCCAGCCTCCCCCTCCCCTTAATGGCAAATATTGTTATAGTCCTTAAGGCAGGGAACTTTCTATTCAGACTGTAAAAGGAAATGTTGAAATCCTTAGCTGTCCTGTCAACAGTAGTGGAATGAAAAGTCATTGCATTATCTTGGCAGTGGTTCTGAAGCAGGCACAATTGGCAAATTATTATAATTCTGCTGCCCTTAAATCCCCATTTGCCTCAAGATAGTGGCATTTATTGGCAAAAGCCTCCGAAATGTCCAGCACATGCTTTTGAGTTACCATTTAAGGATCAGACTGGCAATTGACTTCTCTCTGCACATTTGTCTACAGGAACCTAAGCCAGACTGTTCCCAAATGACCTTCTAAAGGACACAGTGTAGCTTCATCAAGGGAAGCAATTTAGAAGGGATGGGAGGAGGTGGTGTTTCTTAGCCCTGACATCCAGTCTATAACAACAGGATAGGCAGTTCCTGGAACCAAAGCTGGTTTTCAGGGAGAAGACTGAACTGAGAGATGACAGAGATGACAGAGAACTGTCCACATGCTGTACAGACTGTCACACGGGGTATCCTCTTAACTGACACAGGGGATCTGGAAAGCAGCATTATGACCAGAGGTTTAGAGGATTCAGAAATCTGAATAGCAGTTCAAAATAAGGAGGAACTTCCTACAGCTACAAATGTTCAATAACGGAACAGGTTGCTTCTTAAAATAGTGAGCCCACCATCCCTTGACATGGTCAACGAGGGACTAGATAAAGTAGAGACTGTTTAAGGATTGTTGGATTATCACATGTCCTAAAACAATTGGTATAATCTTTCAAGGCCATTGACTTTATGAGGCCCCAAATAATTTTTCCCAATGAGTAGATAATTTGATCCCTTTTTTCTTTGGAAAGAGTTGAATCAATCTTGTGAGATCTTGAAAAATTACTTTAACTGTCCTAAAGTTTACTTTCCTTATTTGCAAAATAGAGACATACAGTGATAATCTACTTATTTCATAAAGATCTTGTGAAGACTGTGTCAAATGCTTTAGTAAATACAAAGGATGGAACACCAACCTGTAGAGTGATGCGACTTCTGCAACAGAAAGCAGGACAATGTGCAAGGGAACTGAATTCAGTTCCCTATAGAAAGTGCTTCTTGGTCACTGTGGACCTACTGCCTATGGCTTTCTCATTTGACACTTGGTGTTCTTACTTCAGCTCTTTGTCCTTAGGCTGAACGAACAGTCACAAACCGGGGGACTTGTACATATACCGGCTTTTTTTTTTCTTTAGCCTATGTGGAGTACTGCACCACTAAAGTTGTTCAAGGGGGCATGATAAGTTTAGTTGGAGACAGGATTAGACACAAAAGAGTTTAAGTACAGTGAAAAGCATTTTATCACACAATAGAAATCATGGTTGGCAACTTTATTTATTTGAGTTTTGTCGCATTCAGGAGTTTTCACTAGAAAATCTCCAATAAATGTTATTTCAGACACTGTTTGGGCAACTCCACTGATGAATTCCTCAGTCTTCTGGTACATCTTTGACAGTTCTGATGGGTGTAGAAAGTTCTCCTGCTGACTGAGAACATGAAGCGCTATAAAGTCTATCTAACATCTCTTTCACTAAACAAAGAAAGAAAGAACCCCCCTCCAAAAAAAAAAAAAAAAAACCCACAAAATAAACCTACCAAAAGTCATGTGGACTGCTTGGGTTCCCGCGCCAGGATGTGGGACATTCAGATACGGAGTCAAAGCTGGTGGATTTTACAAAAGGGAGCTGCCAAAAATCACTGTGCCTGCACCCCCACCCCTCTTTGGTCAATTGCTTCTCTTTTGGGACCTAATCTTTGGCCTTTTTCTAAGGAGAGAAGCTAATTAGGAGTTGACTACTTTTAGATCTATTGCCTTGAGGCACATTTTCACGTTCTTTTGTTGAACCCTCCTGGGAAGCCAATCTATTCACAGAGCCCTGAGGCACAGAGACCATCTCACCAATGATTTCATTTCATAGAACATAAAGCAGAGACCTTGAAACCAGAAAGAAATTGCTCAAAAAGAAGATGGGTGAACTTTGGAAATACCGAGATAGACTAAATCTTCCAGTTCCTATTCCTGGCCCACTGCTCTTTCGAACATAAAATCTACATTCCCAGGGAAAAGATATGTAACTTGAATCGATGTATCATAGTTGCTGGGTTAATTCTGAGGTGAGAAAACAATAGGTCACAATTGTTTAGGGGGAATTTCCAGAAATTGCTTTTATTTTCTTAAAGGCTAAGGCTACTCATAGGGCTCTCTGATTTCCTATCTGATCAAAAGCCCAAACAAAGCTGCGGAAGCCAGCAGAGCCAGCAGAGATTTTGTAAGGCAGCTTTGCCTCTGCCTGGCATTTTGTGGGGCAGGAGAGGGGAGGGCGAAAGTATTAAATTTAGGCTTAAAAGCTCCTCAGAAATTCTTTACACACAAGAGACCAAGTTGGCGAAAAGAAGATGACTTGTGCCAAGGGGAAGAAAAAGAGAGACTAATGCCTGTGGTTTTCAAAGGTTAACAACAACATGAAAAAGCCCAAGTATTTGCACAGGGATGAATGCTCTTTGGCTCCTGGCCAACAATTATACAAGGGCTTGTGCCCACATCCTGTCGCTGTGGTTTGGGGACGCTGCTCATGAGTGACTTCTTATGCTTAGTGGCAGGAAACTTGAGTCACTGATGTGTAAACTCACCTTTGGGCCACACCACCCCCAGCATGCTCTGAAAGCAGCTGGGGGCCAGGACTCTCCCTGCAGATCCCAGTTCCTCAGAAGCGAGGGGAGAACTTGGCCGAGGCTCTGGACTCACCTGGAGTCCATCGATATGTAGTTGATTCCTCCTGATTGAGGCAACTCCATAGGATAATTCTGTCACCATCAAAAGAAAGTATGATATCCTCTCCTAGCCCTTCTCTTTTGCCTCAAAATCCAAGACAAAAACTGTAAGCCCTATTTCATTTCAGGGCTTCAGCCAATATGAAACGTGAGGCTGCTTCTCTGCCTGGATCGTGTACCTCACGTGCTCCTTTACATTCGGTGTTGGAAAAGCTTTTAGTAAACGTTTCACACATCGCCTTTTCCCGTGAAGCCAAATGGAATCTGCAAGCCTAGTTAAACGAACTCTTGTGTTTTTAAGGTAAATATAGTGTTGGGGGCCTAACGTGTCCCCACAAGAACCTTCCTATCGCCCGCCCCTCTCAGAACAAAACACCACAAAGGGCCTAGCTAGTGCTACCCCAAAACTTCATGCCAACCACTCTAGCCCACAAGAATCCTCTCTTTCCACCACGATGGCGGCATATAAAAGAGGTCTCCCACTGCCCTCTGTGTGGACTCCATCTTTGGCTCTGCCCAGGTGGGTCTCTATCACTTTCATT